TCTGTGTAATTTGTTGTTTTGCGTAGGTAGCGCTTTGCTTAGGAATATTCAAAAATGACGCGTGAGGGATTCAATTTGGTTCGGCAGCCGTAACGGGATTTGATTTTCAAATTTTGTAGTTGGTTCAAATGAAGTTCGTTGAATTAATTAGCTATATAGAAATCTTGGAGCAATGAATCAGATAGCGTGCATTGTGAAGCTGCTCTAACTTAGCTCGTAAGGTTAGGTAGAGCTAGCTGTTTTATCAGCCGGCTCTTTTTTGTCGCTAAGTCTTACTTTACTTAACCTTAAAAGGCAGGACTGTTGCTGTAAGTTTTTGGTGCAGTCCATTGGTAGCACTAAGAATTAGCTGGAAGACTTACGATTAGTTTTTTTTAGTAAGTGTACGATCTGTAAATCTAGGCTTAGTTTTGTCGGTTTTGTTGCCAGCCAAAAGGGTACCCATATTGATTTGGACGCCATTGTTACGTTTGTTTATTCAGTGCTTCTTTGTCACCTTCTCGAAGGTCACATTTTTTTTGTTTTCGAGTTTCTTACCGAGTAAGAGATATGTCTGCCTTATCAGTACTCATGACTTCACATCGCTTATTTTCAGGGAAATCACCTTTTCTTTTCGTAATTCCTGTGGCGTTGCTTGTTAAAAGACGAGCTCAGCTTCAGGAACGATAGGTGTGGGTTCCCATAGTTGAAGTGGCACGTCCATTATGGATGGGATCGATCCGGACGTCCTGCTAGAATGGCTTCAAACGGGTATTGGAGACGAAAGGGATCTCCAGGTGAGCAAATTTGACTCAGTGGTTTTCAGTTCAAGGTCGTTTATTGTTGAGCGGCCGTTGCTAGTCCAGTATTGAGCGCCATGATCAGTGGACCCATGAGGGAAGCGATCATACGGATTTACCAAATTACCAAATTTTAGATGCTTTAGTGCAGAATATGAACTGTCATAGAGTTAGTCTGGAAAAGCCTAACAGGTAATAGGCCTGAGATTTCAATACACAAAATTTCAATCTTTAGTAAAAGGGTAATGGTTTCTTCGAATGGCTAATTAGTCATAGATATTTGTGGCTGTGTTGCTAAACCTAGTCCCATTAAGATTAATCCGATCTTAACCCTTTTTGGTTCTTTATGAGAAATCTTCACTGATTCCGCTTGGAACATGTGTGATTAGAAGTTGGTTGGGAGCAGTTTCTTGGGCGTAACTTACAGCTTACATAGCTAAGTGCTCTTGCTTGCATAATACCGGTCAAGTTATTTTTGCCGCGTTAGCGTTGCGATTAAGCCATTAAGGCCACATTTTTCGTTTTGATGGGCTTGAAAATTGGATTTTCTTAGTGTCTTCAATGGTATAGAGTTGTGATACTGGCACTTTAAACTACTTGACTCCCATGGTTGCTATTTCAGATGATGGCCCTCGAGCAGCTGTGCATGTTGCTGCTCATGTCTGACAATATCGATCGATGCTTTGAATCGTGTCCTCCGCGAACGTTCCTTCCTGCGTTGTGCAAAATTTTCCTGGATGAAACTGCTACAGAGGCTGTTCTTGAGGTTCGTAAATGAGTCCAGGGCTTTAAGCTTGAGATCAGACGTGTACTCGGTTCTAAAATCGTCCAGGCGTCCACGGTAATGTAGGGAATTCTGGTAGTCACAAGTCCGATAATGAGAGGGGCAGAAAGCAGGAACTCGGAAGTACGAGTCGTGTTTGGTTGTCGGACTTAAGACCTCGGTTTATAAGGATCTGGAAAAAATGAGGATGGGGCGGGAGGGATGGTGAAGCTGTTTACATGACGTGTACAGGCGCGACACGTACACAGGATCTAGTTTTCACTGCAACTGTGATGGCATAGGGTAATGAAATGTTGGTTCGCTCTACAACGGTAAAAATATAAGATACAAAGAAAATATTACCCTTCGAAAAGTCTGTATTTGTTCAGCTGTGGAAAGTTAGTCTGGGCGTTCCTCAAGGACTTACGTAACTCAACGTTTTCTTGCAGGTCACTGCCCGTGCTATTACTTATTACCTTGATGTTTCCAACGAATGCACCCGAAGAATAATTCAAGTGGATGGCGCTGTTAAGGCAATATGCAGTCGACTTGCTGCTGCCGAAATGACTGACAGAACCAGTAAAGATTTAGGTCTGTTTCAAGCGCTAGTACTTTGGTGTTTCAACATTGCATCATTTTGTGACACTAGCCTATTTTTAGCTGAGCAATGTGTGAAACTTCTCGAGCATATTTGTCAGCGCGAGACGCTCGCCGTTTATGATGCTGGTGGTATGCACGCTATGCTTACATTAGTTCGACAACATGGTTCGCAAGTCCATAAGGTTTGTTTTGTAAAGAAATTTTTCAGACGTTTTGTAGGAAAATTTTTTCGAGTTGCGTAATGTGAAGCTGAAATCCGATACGTTTCGAATTTGTTTCGGCAGTCTTCGAGCATGATTGGTAAATATTGATTATTGTGCGGTATAAGTTTTATATAAATCGATCGTGAGATCAGTACGTATCTTCTTCTCACTCGAACTGGAAACGTAGTGCAAGGCATTAGGAAAGTGCGACCGCTTGTATTTTGTAGTGCTGTAAATTTTATAGAAAAATACACTCCAGAATTACCAGAATATAGCCATATTGGAATATTACCATATTCCAGATTGTTGAAAAAATTATGGAAATTTGACTTTATTAGAAAATGCTCCATTTACAGGACACAATGCACTCCGCAATGTCTGTAGTCACACGTTTATGTGGTAAAATGGAACCAAATGATGCTGCCCTTCCGCAATGTGCTGAAAGTCTTGGAGCTTTGCTTGCACATGAGGATAATAAGGTACTTTCATTACTTCATGGTCCAAATGTTTGGCGCATTCCGTACCGCGTGCGCTACCTTGTGGTACTAGCAATTGTACAGTAGAGAACCAGCTGGTTTATTTGAATTTTTCTGTTTGTAAATTCCACGTGGATAAATTTTCGAACCTGAAAAACGGTTGCGGGCAAGGGTCGTCGCTAGCAACGACTCTGGCGCACACGTGAACGAGAAATTTGAGCTTCAAGTGGCGCGATTCGGCCACTGAATACTTACCTACATCTGGAAGAAATTACGAATATTACTATTGATAAAAATCGTTGGAAAAGGGTATAGTAACGAGATCTGT